CTCTCTCTCTCTCTCTCTCTCTCTCTCTCTCTCTCTCTCTCTCTCTCTCCACACTGACCTTCACCAGGCCTGCACCCCACCCAAAAACCTCCTAAGCGGTTTGTTGCGTGTTCCGCGGTTCTTCTCACTCGCGCCAGGTAATTTGCTCAGGCCTTGAGGAAAGATGGATGTTGGCTGTCACTCAGTACTCATCTACATGAACCTCTAGACACATGATGACCTTAGCTAGAGGACACCCTGACCCGCTGCTCACACCTAGTGGTGAGCTCTATGGCCTCTTGAAGTGGTTCTGCAAGGCTCTGACATCTGAACAGGGCCCTGTGGGTGGCCTCCAAACCCACTCTAGTCAGGGCTCTAGCAGAAAACGTAAAAACAAAGTCCTTAAAAAAAAAAAAAAAAAGACAGGGTGTCACTGTGTAGCCCTGGCTGAAACATGCTATGTTCTCACAGAAATCCACCTTCCTCTGCCTCTGATGGGATTAAGGAATGTGTGATCCCACCTGGGTGACAAAGTATTGTTTTTTTTTTTTTTAAATCCCACTCATTTCCCAGTCCTTCCCTATCCTTGTAACCTCCCCCAAAAGAAAGTAAAAAATTAAAATGAAAACCAAACAACAACAAAAACATCGTGCCGACCCCTCTGGTCAGTCCGTAGCGTTCTCTTACATCACGGCTGTTGCTCTCCAGCTACACATGCACCTCTCTGCTCGGCTGTCTTTCCTGTTCTCCAACATGTATTCATTTGTCCTAGTGGCGCTGGGAGCTGCAGTGTGTCACCCTTTTGCCCAAACAGCTTTACTTGCAAATGTTTATTGCAATGAGTCACTGGTCTGGTTCAAGACCTCTTGGCTTCTGCTAAACGATCAATGCTGGACCATCACTTAGCACAATGGGGTTAATGCTGAAGATCAGAGAGCCAGAGCAGCCGGCCCTAAGAGACTTGTTTTATCTCTAGCAATGCTCAGACCAAAGGGGCGATCCTGTCCTCAGACTGCATCTCTCGATTGCATCTGTCTACACCAAGTCTCAGACTGCAGCTGTCTCCTTCTGCCTTATATTCCTCTCTCCACCCAGCCACATCACTCCTGTCTCCACCTCCCTAGTGCTGGGATTAAGGTATGTGATCCCAAGTGCTGGGATCACCTTTTTTTTTTTTCAGGGTGAGGTTGAATGTTTATTCAGGGGGTTATGGAGGAGGAAGGGGGGGACAGAGAGAGAGGGAGGGAGGGAGAGAGGGAGAGAGAGGAGAAGAAAGAGACAGAGAAGGGGGAAGCAGAGAGGTGGGGAGAGAGGCAGAAGCGAAGCTGCCTCTCCGAGAGGAAGATGGAAAAGAGCTGGGATCACCTTTATGTGAGCTCTGTTTCTCTTTTATTTTTTTTAAATATTTATTTATTTACTTATTTATTATGTATACAATATTCTGTTTTGCTTGTATGCTTGCAGGCCAGAAGAGGGCACCAGACCTCATTACAGATGGTTGTGAGCCACCATGTGGTTGCTGGGAATTGAACTCAGAACCTTTGGAAGAGCAGTCAGTGCTCTTAACCGCTGAGCCATCTCTCCAGCCCCTCTGTTTCTCTTTTAAACAGATCCAATCTTATGTAGCACAGGGTAGTCTTGAACTAACAGATCTGTCTGCCTGATCTGCCTTGAACTATCAGATCTGTCTCCTGAGTCCTGGAATTAAAGGAGTGTGCCACCACTGCCTGGCCTCTAGTGGCTTAGCTCTGCACTCTGATCTTCAGGCAGGCTTCATTCGTTAAGACATAAACAAAATTATCACCACCCCTCTCTGAAACTCCTCTTAGGTATCTTGCTGTTGCCCAAAGTCATGGAGATCCGGAGCCTATGGTTCCTCGGTAAGACCAGCCCTTCACATGTTACAACAGCTCACAGATGGGGCAGGTGTTGGGGTGGGCCAATTCAAAGGCCTGGATCTGGGCCTGGGTGAGGCCTGGGTTGGTCAGCCCATCCCCCTCCATCCTCACCAGCTCTCCACACTAGTACTTTTCCCTTGCTGTGGCCGCAGAAGGACAGGGCCAGTTCATCGTGGTCCTCAGACATCCACACGGCTTCAGGTGGCAACCCAGACCACAGACATCTACATCGCCCTTGGTGGCAACCCAGACCACAGAGACCCTGGCTGCAGTAAGGCCATGGACCCAGACATGGCAGCACAGGCCCTCGATATCACCATGGTCTCAAGTGGCAGAGCAGTCCTCTCTCATGGGCCTGTTCCTCACCACTGTGAGATCTGCAGCTCCACCTCCCCACTCCCCATTCTTTCCCATCTTCTCAGCACCCAGAGGGCGGGCCTCTGGCTTTCTCAACGAATTGTTCTTCATGCCCAGATATTGGAATCACTCTGATGAAGTAGACAAGGAAAGCAGATAAATCTCTGAGTTTGAGGACAACCTGGTCTACATCATTAAGTTCCAGGACAGCCTGGTCTATATAGAGTCCCAAAACCAAAAAAACAAAAGATGAGTTAGGGCAAGTGAAGTCTTGTCTAATCCAGGGTACCCTGGGAGGAGACATATAGCCAAAAGACCTATCTGGATCATAACTTTCTGGGATACAGGGGACGTTCCCTTCTGCTACCCAATCCACAGCATCACTGTGTCCATAATGCTTTCATTCTGGGGCTTGGGCAGCCATATGGTTATAGAGCACTAATATAATAATATAGTTATTGTCAGAGCAGCCATTACTGTTTGCAAGCCCTCCAAGATCTAGCTTGTTGGTTACTGATATTTCCTCATAGAAGGGGGAGGGGCGTTGGCCTTCTATTCTAGGTGCTCCCTCTTGTACCCCTTCGCCATTTGTATGTAATTAGCCCTAGTTGAACATGGCCTAGTGATTTAGGAAGGTGCTGGAGTATAAAAGCTGGGGAAGATGGGCCGCCCATCTTGCAGCTCTAAGTTGTTCTTTTGGGTTCTCATTCATGTTAAGATTTTCTGGTGATGCAGCTGCTTTAAGGCACTCCTTATTCTGTAAGGAAGTCCAAGCACTCTGCAGGACCCTACTTGGTTTGTCACTGGTATTCTATCACCCAGGCTTTCCCCTCGACAAGGTGACCCGATTAAAACTTTACTTCCAAGCCCAGACAGGACACAGCGAGAGCTGCACCAAGTCAGATGTACAGGTGGGTCCTGAGCTTCATCTATATGGGTACTATCCTGCACACATATGGAAGAAGGTCACTGGCTATCTCTTACCCCAGACATTCTAAGTTTTCATTCACTGGTTCTATGTGGTGCAAACAGCCAGGTCAGATATACCCACATGTGGCAATGTGCTCTCAAGAGCTGCAAGCCCCATGCACCAAAAGTGAGAACTTGAAGAATGGGTTCCAAGTAGAAAACCTGCCATCTCTGGTAATATGGGCTGCTGTGGCCAGGATGGTTAGGGTTCATGTCACTTGGGCCAACCTGCAAAGTCAGTCATGCAGATAGGGAGGGGGTGGCGCAGCAGAAGTGCTACCCACAGGACAGCCCCACGGGAAACAAAGCCTGCAGCAGCAGCACGGACTGCCAGCCCCACAGTCTCAGAATGCCCTCGAGCCTCACTTTGAAGCCCAGAGCCTCATATCCCAGGGAAGGATAGAGACAGTGAGATACCTGCCTCAGAGCCACACAAGACGCTGGACCACATTTTATCCAAATCCAGCCTGTATTTATCACTGTTCACTGACGAGAAAACAGACTGTTTGGGTCAGTGGTGATAGTGGGGGTGGGAGGGCAAGACCCAGACAGACGCTAGGAAGAAACTAATCTTTTTCTGGGAACCAACTTCTAAGATCCGGACAACGCAACATTAGGATTAGCACGTGGGCGCAGGTTTGTCCTTGTAACTAGGGTGAGTCCTGAAGTCCTCAGTGAGTCTAAGGAGATGCCCACAAGTGTGGCTCTCTGGGAGGTCCAACCACCCTAACAGGAGGCTCGGGTACTTTCCCTAAACATCCTGTCTTGCCTGGGAGGCTTGCATAGTTGAAGGATAGTTGCTGCAGATACTCTGCTGAGTGTGTTCACAATTGACAGCCAAGTGGGTTTTTGTGACCACGTACACAAATAACCAGAGGGATTTCTAGAAACTTTTTATAGACTGTCCAGGTTAAGAATTTAATAAGTTTTATAATTATATCAACAGAATATTTACATGTTTTTCTCTAAAAAAAATCAAACCAAAGAAATCCTCTTACACCTATGCATAAGGCAGAAACCCAAAGTTTTGTACATTATTATTATTATTATTATTATTTTAATATATATCTGTAACTTCGGTTCCAAGTACCAAGGGAAGGCCAGAGCCGGGCCTGAGTGTGGAGCCTCACAGTGCGCTAGACAGAAAGACTGTTTCTTTCCATAAATAAGACAAACTCTGGGGCTCAAACGGAATCTGAGACGTGAAATCGTAAATCCCAAATAAAATTTCTTTTTTTCTTTTTTGGTTCTTTAAAATGTTAGAGCACAAAATTAAGAAAAATACAAAACCATTAAAAATGCTTGTCACCTGTGGGGAGTTACAAAGCTAAATTTTTCCCAGTGTCCTAACTGCAAGCTCGGAAAATGAAGTTACCCCAGAAAATAGTCAAGTCCTGGACTATGCAAGCCCCAGCGTGGAGCGAGCGGCGCTGCTCCTGGACTAGAGGAACTGTGCTCAGATCCCAGGTATTTAAGTGAGTCAGTCTGGTAAACTGGGACTACCGAGCCTCCACCTCAGGCGGGTTGCACGCCGCCGGCGAGTAGTCGCGCGCCTCGCCAGGCCCAAGCGCCAGCGGCGTCGTCCTAGAGCGCGCTGGTGGCGTAGACACCCCGCTTGCAGCCACCAGTGGAGGAGGCGCCCCGAGTGTGGCGGTGGCCGGCGGGGTCCGGGCCAGGAGCGTGCCGTGTAGCGCGCCAGGAGCCAGGCGCGGGTAATGCAGTGCCGGCAAGAGCGCGGTGCCCGAGGCGGGTGCGCAGGCGCGCTCCAGCTCTTCCCGGCGCACCTCCCGCAGGCACTCCGGGCTGTAGTCGTGAGGCTCGCGGTCGCGGTAGGTGCGCTCAGAGAGCTCGAAGGCAGCGGGGCCCGCAGCGGGCGGCAGGGCAGGAAAAGTGCGGCGGGGCAGTTCTAGGCCCCGGTAGGTGTCGCGCGGCAGGTCCCACACGAAGCCCGACGTGCCCAGGCCCAGATGTGTGGCTGTGGAGTGCACGCTGATGCTCGTGAGCTCCGGTGTCTCGTCTTCCCTGTGCTCCTCCTTTACCTTCACATCGCCCTGGGGCTGCTCAGGCGTCTGCTTGCCGGACTCCCGACCCAACAGGCCTGGCAGGCGCAGGCAGTCATCCAGGGCTGCCTTGCAGTAGGGCGATGGAGGTCGTGCACCCTGTTTGGCACTATCCTCTTTGCCTGATGAGTGGCCCTCCTTGACCCGAGGCTCAGCCTCGCTCTCTGTGAGGATTCTAGGGAGACCCAGCTCACCGGGACCCCGCTGCAGGAGGCTGCTGATGGGATGGCTCACTGATGCTGCAGGCGAGGTGTGGCTCAGCGGGTGCGTCTTCTCCAGGAGGTCCCTGGGGACAACAGGATAGAGCCATCACCTAGAGCATCTATAGCTCCTAGAAAGGTGTTTGTCAAGTTCCTGTGACCTCAGTATTCCCGCTGTGGAGCTCTGTATCCTGGGCTCCAGGCTGGCCCAGTGTTAGAAGTGTCCTGTGAACACACTGGTTGTGGACAATAGGAAGCTCTCTACCATTCCTTCCCTGGTTATTAGATACACTTCTCTATGTTGTCCTGGGTGGCTGCAGCACGAAAAACTGCTCCGAGTTCTACCACTTGGGGGCTGGGGAGGCAAGGCAACATGGCTTCCCCAACCCTGGAATTCCCTGCTCAAAATTTAAGCATTCTCAGGTTTAGGGGTATGCAGTTGCTTTCTAGTAGTTTAACTACAGATGCTGTCTGTTTTAAATTCCCTCAGCACCAGCCTAATAATGCAGGCCTGTAATTCTAGCTGAGAGGCTTTGACTGGAGGACTAATACAGTTCAAGGTTAGCCTGGGCCACTTACCCTGGGTTCTTGCTGTTCTCACCAAAGGGCCAGGGGAGGATCCTGAAAACACGCTACACTCACTTTTCTGGTAGGGTCCCCAGCTAGGCCTACAAGCAGGTTCTTTTCCCACATTTTGTTTTGTTTGTTTGGTTTTGAGATAGGGTTTTACTGTGTAGCTTTGGAGCCTGTCCTGGAACTCTGAAGACCAAGCTGCCTTCGAACTCACAGAGATCCACCTGCCTTTGCCTTCTGAGTGCTGGGATTAAAAGTGTGCACCACCACAGCCTGGCTTCTCCCACATTTGCTCACAGTGTGGGGAAGTCTAGGGCAGGCGCAGGGCTCTGTTCTCACCTAGCTGAGTCTCTCATACTGGCCAATTCTGCTCTCACCAGGCAAAGGACCCTGCTCCTTCAGTCTGGGGGCAGGAAAGAGCCTCCAGAGCCTGACCAGGGAGGGACCTCAGAGAGCACCCTAAGGAAGGTTGTGCCAGCTGCAGGAAGGCTGACATGATGACCTAGGAAGTCCCTGATAAAAACAACCTGCATTAGCACCTGCAGCTTTGAGACTGCAGGGTAATTCATCTGCAGACGGAACCTTCCACCCCGAAAGTTCCCCTTCCTGCCTCAGAAAGCCCCCGAGCTTCTGGACCTGGGCATATGCCCTCCACTCCCGTCGAGAGTGCTGCTTTTCATGTTCTGGTTGAAGGGCAAACTGTGTTTGCAGAGGTCAGTCTCCTCTCATTTTCACATTGCCTTGACCAATCTAGAGCTTAACACTTGGTGCCAAGACCCAGGGGGCAGTTTTGGGGACCTACACCCTTCCTCTGAGCAATCTTTCCTCTCGCCCCTTACCCATCTACCTTTGCTGACATCCCTCACTCAGAGCTGCTTACCTGCTTACCATCTGAAACCTCTGGGTCTTTGCAGCCTTTGTCTTCATACACAGTACAAATAACATTCTGAGATTTTATTGGAATGTGATCTATCAGCTACTCTAGCTACCTAAGGACCCTGTTTCCTCAAGCTGAAACTATGACATTTTCCTGTTTATTTTATTATTTTGGGCCTGCCACAGGTACCATTTCCTTCTGTAGATATCCATATTAACTAAGATCCACCTGGCTCTACCTGATTGATGGTAATTGATGAACCAGCCCCATCTTGGGCTCGAAAGCCATCTAAAAAAAAGAAAAAGTCATGATTCCAAATGATTTTCTCCTATACTCATAGACTGTTGCCTAGCCCAGTGGTCATCAGAGAGCCTTCATCTAGCAACTGATAGAAACAGATGCAGAGACCCACAACCAAATATTAACCAGAGCTTGGAGAATTCGGTGGAGAGATTGTAGGAGCCAGAGCAGTCAAGGACATCATAAGAAAACCCACAGAAACAACTAACCTGGACTCATAAGGGTTCACAGAGACTAAATCAACAACCAGGGAGCCTGTGTGGGACTGGCCCGTGCCCTGTGCACATATATTCCAGTTGTATAACTTGGTCTACTTGTGGGACCCCTAACAGTAGGCGCAGGGACTGTCTCTGACTTTATTGCCAGATTTTGGGATCTTTTCCTCCTCCTGGGTTGCTTCATCCAGCTCTAATAGGAGAGAAGGTGCCTAGTCTCAATGCACCTTGATATGCCTTGGCTGGTTGATATCCATGGGAGGCCTGCCCCTTTCTGAGGAGAAATGGAGGAGGAGGAGTGGATGGAGGTGGGAAGATAAATGGGAGGGGCTGGGTGGAGAGGAAGGAGGATAAATATTTGTCAAAATGTAAAAATAAAAAAAAAAACAAAACATCAAAGGAAGATACAATAAAAAAATAAATAAAAATAGAAAAAGACAAACTAGGCTCCTTTCTGCTTATGATCAAATTTCAGTTTCTTTTTTTTTTTTTTCTTGGTTTTTCGAGACAGGGTTTTTCTGTAGCTTTTGGAGCCTGTCCTGAAACTTGCTCTTGTAGATCAGGCTGGCCTCGAACTCACAGAGATCCGCCTGCCTCTGCCTCCCGAGCGCTAGGATTAAAGGCGTGTGCCACCACTGCCCGGTCAAGTTTCAGTTTCTTAAAGATTGGGCTATGCCCCATCTAAAACCTTAACTACAAATGGTTCTGTACTTCCTGCTCCAGGAGACAGCAACCATGTCTTTGTTTCAAAAGGTTGTTATGACCACCTTGTTATTTTCTGCTTCTAAAACCCTTCCCCAGCTCTATAAAAAAGCTTTATCTTTGCCCATACCCAATGCTGGCCTCTTGAACCTTGCCTTAGGGAGGCAGTCTGTGTATGCAAATAAAAGAAAACAATTTGCTTTAACTAATTGTTTAAGCTAGGTGGTGGTGATCTATTCCCTTAATGCCAGCACTTGGGGGACAGATGCAGGTGGGTCCCTGTGAGTTTGAGGCCAGCCTGATCTACAGGGCAAGATCCAGGACAGCCAAGGCTACACAGAGAAACCCTGTCTTGACAAACAACAAAAAACCAGTAATATCAGTCTCAAAAAACCAAACCAAACAAACAAAGCAACAAAAACCCCCCAGTAACGACATCAGATGTCTAAGAAGGAATATATGTATCTATAATTTTAATGTTTTGTTTATGACAACGTGGTGGTCTGAATAAGAATGACCCCCATAGGGTCATACAGGTATCACTTTGTTGGAGAAATTGTTATTGGGATAGGCTTTAAGGTTTCAAAATTCCATGCCAGGCCCAGGTCTGTTTCTCAGTCTCCTACTTCCCTTTGCTTTGGATCAGGATGTAGCTCTCAGCTACGATTCCAGCACCACACTTGCTGCCAGGATGATAATGGACTAATCCTCTGAAATTGTAAACAAGCCCTCAGTCAATTGCTGTCTTGTATAAGAATTGCAGTCCTGGTGTCTCTTCACAGCAATAGAACAGTGGCTAAGACAGAAGTTGGTACAGGATTAGGGAGTTACTCTGACAGGCCCAACCATGCTGTTTGTTGGAGTAGTGTGAAAGACTGGGATTTTAGACTAGAGAGTGGTTGAATGCTCTAGTGGGGCCATCCTGGTAGGAGCACAGACATCGGTACTGAGGGTGATATGAATGTTTCAGAGGGGAAGAATATTAATAAGTGGCCCTGAGACGCTGCTTTTTGCCCTTGTCCTAAGAATTTGCCTGAGGCTCAACTGTTGATTAATGGTGCTGGCAGAGGAGAGTTCAGGACAGCCTAGTACTGTCGTGTGGCCATTATGCAAACTGGACAAAGAGAAATACAATGTGAGGAGAGAAGGAGCAATAGGAAGTGTAACAGCCAAGTCCAGTGCTCAAGGAGATAAAAAAGTTTAAAAAGCTTGATGCTAAATGAGATAAAGGGAGCTATGACCTCACAGAAAGCCCCCATATAGCTAAGCTGCCAGCTGCTGAAAAGGAAAGAAAGGACAGCTTAAGCAGTGAAGGAAACCACTGAAAAAGGAAGCTGATGCAGATGTAACTGAAGGAGGGGCCATATTCCAGCCCTAGCAAGCAGCAGAAGCTGGTAGCTTTGGTCACGTGGTTCTGGCGGCAGAGTCAAGGATACAAGAAAAGAGTTGTGGAATCTCCCTCCATGGGTAAGCTGCTAGGCCAGGCACATGTCAGGAGTGTCCCTGCTTGGAGACCCAGAGAGGCTATTGGATGAAGCTGTGAAGGTTACAGATTCTGCCTCACTCATATAACACAGTCCAAGGATGCATGCTGTCACCAAATGGCTGTTTTATGTTCTGGACCTTTCCTGCCTGTTTAATTTTATTGTGGCTCCTTAGATTGACCCTCCTCTGAGACGCGCTAACTGCTGTCTCTTTTTTATTGCCCCCATTGCCAGCTATGAAGCGGTTAGGTGAGCTGTGCACCAAACCCCTAACAGCAGTCAGATACCCCCTAAAAAAGGACTGATGGGCCGGGCGGTGATGGCGCATGCCTTTAATCCCAGCACTTGGGAGGCAGAGGCAGGTGGAGCTCTGTGAGTTTGAGACCAGCCTGGTCTACAAGAGCTAGTTCCAGACAGGCTCCAAAATCACAGAGAAACCCTGTCTTGAAAAACAAACAAACAAACAAAAAAAATAAAAACAAACAAACAAAAAAAGGACTGATGTGCCACCCAACTCATTCTTTTTTGTTTGTTTTGTTTTTCTTGAGACAGGGCTTCTCTTCTTGGAGTCTGCCCTGGCACTTGCTCTGTAGACCAGGCTGGCCTCAAACTTATATAGCTCTGCCTGCCTCTGCCTCCCGAGTGCTGGGCCCCAACTCATTCTTCTTGCCACTCTGGGCATTTTTTTTTCTTTCAGAACTCAGAACTAAAACAGCTGGATTGATTAACCTCTCTGTCTGGCCAGCTCTCATAAAACCTTAAAGAAATTTCAGATCAGTTAGTATCCTTCAGAACTAACTAGTTTCTTTGGCTCCCAAAATTAAAGAGGATTTGTTGTCTCCCCAACCCCCTCAGTATTTGTTTCTGGGTTAATGGAACTCAAAGCCTTAGATAAGCTGAGAGGCTCCAGGAGGTAAATGGACATACTGAGAACATCTGCAGGCAGTAAGGAGCTGAAAGCCCAGGAGGAGGTCAACAGACTCACCTTTGTTAGTATTTACCGCCTTAAGACCGAAAGGGAATAGATCTGCAGATGGAATCTTCCACCTGCAAAGTTCCCTTTTCTGCCCTGTAAAACCTCCAAGTTCGCTATGGCTGTGTGCGGTCTCCACTCCCATGGAGACTTAAGGACAAGTTCCTTCTACAGAGGTCTCCTTTTATTTTCATGCCGTTTCTTTGATCAATCCCAATCTAACAGACTAAACAGGTGAGAAACCAAGCCGGGTAGAGGGGTCTGGGGCCAGATGAACTCACCGCTCATGCTCTTCCTGGCCTTTGTCAGGCTCTCGGTCGTGGTTGGTCAGGGCTGAGAAGCGCTCAGTATCCATTGGCTTGGGCCACGGGGGCGGGGTAGGAAAAGAAGACGGTGCCCGGTGCAGCCGGTTCCAGGAATCATGGGGACTGGGCAGGCCAAGCAAAGCTGTGCCCTCCTTGGAGGCAAAGATGCTGCCCCCTGGTGTGAAGCAGGAGAAAAGGACAGAGGACCAGGAGTGTGAGTTAGGCAGGATGCCAACACTGTAACCCTAACAGGCTGAGAAGCCTTAGCCTAGAGGGAGGTCAGTGTGCAGGACAGACAGGAGAGTGAGGGGCAGTGGAATGATGTGGCGAGTCACTCACTCAGTGCATGGCTGCCCAGACCTCCAAAAGCATGGCTGCCCAGGCTCCCCAGGCCTCCAAAGGTGCTGGATCTGCTGAAGGCGTCTGTAGGGGTGAGGGAAGGGAAACAAGGGGTCAGGGATCTGCAAGGCTTACCCCCTGCCCCAGACAGAAAGAGTGGCCCAGGAACGCCTTAGTCTGGACAGGTGCCACCTATATCAATCTGAGAGGCTGTGGGACCTCCTTCCCCGCCATTCACATCCCTCTAGCTGTGAAGAGTGTGGAAGATGCCACCCAGGCTTCTCGGTCACCTACCTGTTAGATGACTAGTGGGCAGGAAGCTGCCATGATGAGCTGAGGGTCCAAATGGGTTGGCGGTTGGATGAGTGACACCTAGGTGGGGGGTAGCGATGCTGACAAGAGCTTCCAGACCTGGGACCTCCTACCTCTAGTGCTGGGTCACAGGTAGAGAACCCCGGTTTTACATTGGGACCCCCTATCTTCCATTCTCTCACCTCTACATCACTGTACAGGTGTATGGTTAGATTATGAGATTGGAATTCAGTCTGGTCCCCAGGTCTGGGGCCCCAAGTTATGCACAGGCAGTGGTACTGACTGTAGTGGAGCTCCCTGAGAAAGAAGCCAAGACGTGGATAAAAATGGAGAGGGAAGGCCTAAGTAAGTGAGCCATAATGAGACTGATCCCCAAGGTTGTGACCCCAGGGCTTAAAACTGGAGCAAAAAATGATCCTGGCTAACCCAAGGGGGGCAGCCGGTCCTGGGTCCATAGTCTTGGGTGTGCCCTCTATTTTCTAGCTAAATGAAATTTTTAAATGAGTAATGAGTAAGAAACAGAACACCCAGGAATGCTTCTGTAACTCCTGAACACCTTGTTGGTGGGTTAGAAGATGATACCAGAAAGGAATGAATTCCCTTTCCTGTGTCATCTCAACTCAATCCCAGCAAAAAAATATCAGCTGTTCAGTAGATACTAGGCAGGTTTAAGAAACAGAGAACTTAGGCAATCAGAGAAAAAATATAGCTCAATAAAAACAATTTTAAAAAAAGATTAAAAAAGAAACAGAGAATTTTGAGAAGTGGGGAGAAGGTAGTGATCATCCAAGATAAGAAATTGAAGGATGGAGGCCAGCTAAAGAACACGACACTAAGGTATGTTCTGGGGCTTGAGCCAGCTCTGTTAGCTTCTCATGCTAGCAGAGGTAAAAACATGCTTGCTCTCATTCACCTGCAGGTGGGCACCAAGTGGGAAGAAGATGGAAAGGACTAGGGTAGGCCAGGCAGTGGTGGCGCAAGCCTTTAATCCCAGCACTCGGGAGGCAGAGGCAGGCGGATCTCTGGGAGTTTGAGGCCAGCCTGGTCTACAAAGCAGATGACAAAACCATTACACAGAGAAACTGTTTTGAAAAACTACAAAAATAAAAGAATGACTGAATGAGTAAATAAATAAAAAGGAAGAAAAGGACTAGGGTAGCAGGGGCTCTGAGGTGACAGACCTGAGACCTGCTTGTGGAAGAAGAGGGATCCTGCAGAGGGAAACGCAGACAGCATTCACATATGTTTATGTACACATGTGTGAATACACACAGGCTGAAATTGATGCTGATCCTTCTATTTTGAGTCTGAGACATTCCTTTTATGCCTGTAACTGAAGGGCAGCCTGCACTTGTATCCAGACTTTATCCATATAGCCTCTTTTTCTTCCTGGAGACCAGGGATTTGGATACACGTCAGGCAGATGTCCCCAAAAGACCCTGGGCATCGAGGACTGAAAGCACGTAACTCCACACTGCCAAGTACTTAGGGAAGGCTGGGACACGGGTTTTTGGGAACAGTTCCCTGCATGTGGAGACAAACCAGATACTGTCTTAGGTATCCCAATGATGAGGGATGCCAGGATGAGGAGGAACCAAATCACCAAGCCTTAAGTTATGTGTGATACACACTGGCTAGGGCCTTCAGGAACTAGCACCAGGGTCCCACAGTACATGAGCTGGCTTTGGGAAGTTTGGGGACTTGGGCCTGGGACCAGAGGTAGATATAAAGAACACTGTGCAAGGGCCCTGGACAGTTCTCTTACTCTCAACACAGGAGAAGACAGATGTTTTGGGCCTACTCAGACCCCTAATCCCAGCTACCTTTGGTCTCACCTGTGCTGGAGAAGAGGGGCCGGGCCAGGTCCTGTGGGTAGTGGAACCCAGAGAACATGCCTGGGGCAGGGGGCCGGCTAAAAAGATCCAGCTTTGTGGCAACCTCCAGCTTGTGGGGGTCCAGCTGCATCTGCAAGGGAACAGAGTATGTACCAAGGCTGTGTGCAAGGGCTTGGATATTGCTCAAGGTAAAGCCTCAACTGATAACCTGGACTAAACAGGGACTTCACTGGAGGTACCTCCTGAGGAACTGGAGGTAAGGGGAAGGAAAGGTAGTTTTAGTGGGGGTTTCATCTGGTACAGAAAAACTAAAACCTTCCTATAGTATGCAATGCATGGAGTCACAACGACACAGTCCACTTTTATATCAGAGCTTTCAATCGTTGTACCCTTATATAACAGCATATTTGCATATATCATACCACAGAAAATATCTTTATTTAGAATTCACAAATTCAGTTGGAAAAGCATATCCATAGGCCAAAGTTGTTGCAAGCACGTTTGGTTTCCAACAGTTTACTTTATGTTTAACAACAGAAATCTGGAGTAGAAAGATGGTTTAGCAGGTAAAGGCCCCTTCCTGCTACCAAGGCTGAGCACCGGAGTTCAAACTTTAGGACCTACATGGTAGATAGAGAGATCCAACTCCTGCATGCTGTCCTCTGACCTCCACATGCGTGCCATGGCACACATGTATTGCATGTGCAGATGCACACATGTGTACACACACATAAAAATATGCAAAAACCCCAAACCATGACTCTATTAAAATTATATAGACCTGAGGTACCCGTCCTCCTTTGGGCTGGCCATCCCTTCAGGGCTCTGTGGCCAGAGGCTACACTGAGTGTGGCTCTGAAGATCATAAGGACAAAGTCACTGTCCTTCTTCCCTTGCCTGTCTGCCCTGCCCTGCCACACCTTGCTATGGCCAGCATTTGGGGGCTCACGTTTCTCCCATTTTATAAAGTATGTTACTGAATGTGTGTGAGGGTGGTTTTCGCACATCACCAAAGGAGTGCCCTGTGCTAGAGGGGCAAGTGGGAAGTATGTAGACTTTATGTCTACAGACGCCTATCCAACTAGGGTCACAAATTAATCTCAGTGAGTGAGAACCAAGGATCACCAGGGATCACTCAGGAATCACTGTAGTCAACCCTAAATTTTACCACTTCTGGAAATCCACACTGCCGGCACCTCTCCACCCCCACCTAAGCGTGCGCACTGGAATATAAACAGCATCTCTCAGGAGTCCCTTTCTGTTGACTTCTTTAAGGTCTTCTAGGAGATGATTTTGACAACCGCACAAAAGGTGCAGTGCATCCTGGGTAACATCCGTATTAGACGGTCCTGATTGCGAAGAACCTCTCCTACTCCATTAGATACTGTGCACATGCATGTGGCCCTCATCCCTGGTCTCTGCATTGCCTTCCCTACCTAGGTTCCTCCCAAATGGCCCCACCAGGGAGGCCCCAGCAGTGACCCGCCTGGCCCGGCCTCACCTTCATCTTCTGCTGCTGGTGGTAGATCTGCCAGGCGATCTGCACGTGTACCGCACACCACTTCCCTGGTTTCTGTGGCAGGACCGGGATGTGCTCAGAGAGCCCAGCGCCTCTTCCCAGGTCTCATCTTCCCCAGATTCCTACCATCAGGACCACCCAAAGGCCACCCAGGAGAGAACCGGAGTCCTTCCCAGCCACAGCCCTGGGTGTGCTTCCAACTCCTCTTCCCAACATGCACGCACTCACCCTGACTGCTGTCCGGTATGGATCAGGCACCTACGATGAACAGGAGAGATGGGTCATGTCCAGGCTCTTTGGGAGCACAGGACCAGGGTTGGGAGAGACAGCACCTGAGTGTATGTTGCCAACTACATAGTGAATGCCAACACCTACCCCAGGGGCTTTCTGCAGGAAAGTGTGAACCGCACTGGCCCGGCCCGTTATCTCGACTGAGTTTGAAGTCTAAAGGTACAGGTGGAGAGGGAGAGAGAGTATGAGTGAACCCACACACTGAGAAGGAAGGAAGCAGGATGCCTCTTGGAGCCCCAAGGTCAGGGATGGACCATGCTTTGGCCGGCTGGTGGGACCCTGTACAGTTACCACTCATCATAGCACCCCTCCCCTGTAGTCAAAAGGACTCGCCCAGGCTTATGACATCACTAGGGAGAGTGAACCGCCTCGCTGTGCTAAGCACCTACAGACCACGGGTAAGACAGTGCTTAGGGGAAGGCAGCCAGCCCAGTCCTTAGCCCTGGAGATTTGGGGAGCTGCTGCAGAAACGTAAGTGGGTTTGTGAGATGGGTCCCACACTTCCTATTTGGAGGGAGAGGCCATGAGACGTCTCCTGTTCAGCTCCTGGCTCTTGCACTCTTTCCCTCCTGTGAAAGGTGCCGGGTTCAGATGTCACGTCAGGTGGACAACTGCAGCACGGCTCAGGAGCAGCCTTTCTGACTGCAAACAGGCCCGACCAGCAGGGGGCGCTTTCAATTAAAACTGGAGCTACTCTGTACCCCTGCCCCATGCCCCGGCCCCACCCACCTGCCAGTCACCTCCCAGCAAGAACAGCTGAAATCAGACTGAAAAGCACCCTGCAGGGACCCAAAGGGGCCAGGGTGCTCAAGCAGGTGGGATTGTAAGAGGGAAGGGCTGCAAGAGAGAGACAGAGTTCTGGGCTGTGGGCCCCACATGGTGGAGGGCCCTTGAGCACGGTATCTCCCTCAGCAGCCAGAAGGAAACACAGAAAAATCTGTAATTCCCCACATCCCAAGCAGACAGTAAGGTGAACTTGAGCACGGGGACTCACGTTGGAATGTCGGAAGTAGGGGCTGTCCAGCTTGGGAGAGAACTTGTCAAACTGCAAGGGAAGAAAGCAAAGGGAAGCCTTCCTGTACAGGCCTGATGTCCTCTAGTGACCCAGAACCCACCCACGGCTGGGCTGGGTAGTAACCAGGATGGTACTGCCTTTTCTGAAGCAGGTGGCCTGGTGTCCGGGCTCCTAGAGAGCCCTGGTCTCCGGCCCTGTGGGGCCCGGGTTCCTGGTGCAGAGAGGTTTGTGTGGACCCAGCTGGGGCTCTGGGTAGGGGTGTAGGCATGAAGCCCTGGCTGCGGAGGTAAGGTGGAAAAGCTGTGAACGACCCGGGCTGCTCACAGAGAGAGAAAATGGCTGCACTCAACCATGCGGAAACGGACCAAGGGACACACAAGGGGGCTATAATGGACTGGTTCTTGCAGCCCAGTCCTGTCTAGGCTCCAGACTTGGCATAGGGCCTAGGACCCAGCACAATCGCAGCCAGCCCAGGCTCACAGTCCAGCACCCGGCATGGCAGTCGAGTGGGGTCTACATACACACAAGCAGGCAACATTGGGACTGCCTGCTCACGGCCTATGTGCTTAAGAATGAGTGTGCGGCTATATGTACAGCTGCCTGGCCCACCCTGCCCGCCCCACCAGCAGCCAGCACTCAGGCCTACGCACCGGCGAGGGTGCACTGGGTGGCATGAGCGGCGTCGGGGGCAGGCCAGCGAAGGGGGCAAATGTGTGTTGGTGCTGGTGTGTGTGCTGGTGCGTGTGCTGATGCGTGTGCTGGTGGAATTCGGCCCGCAGCAGAGCCCCCGAGCCCAGGGAGGCGCCAGGCCGCTCGGTGTTCTGCACCAGAAACCGCGTGTTCAGCTCTTGCCTGAGCAGTTCGTGATCTACAAGAGAAAAAGAGAGAGAGACAGAGAGGCACGTCGGCCGCGGGCTCCCAGCGGGGCGAGGCGGATAGTCACCTGGCACTCCCGGGGTCGGCAGGCCAAACCGTGATGGCCGCTAGCAACGTGTGGGCCCAGGGGTGGAGGTAAGAGAAGAGCCTGTGACCAAGTACCAATCAGAATCCCCGAATGAGGCTGGCAATACATGATTGGCTGGTTGAATGAGATCAACAGGCTGGCATCTAGAGGCAAGGAGAGAAGTCGGTGAGCCCTGTCCCATGTGGCCCACTGCCAGGGCTGGGATGCCCGCCCCTAGGAGGAGGTCCTGTCCCCTGTAAGATGGCTGGCTGCTTCCATTCAGAAATCCTCCAGAGATTAAAAATTAGTGAAAGCTCCGCCCAGGGGTAAGGGGGACGAAGACACTTGTGCTCACTCGGGATCTTCTGGAGGTTGGGAGCACAAACGCAGGGTAGGTAGGGGCTGCCTGCACATGACCGAGTCTTCTAACACCCAACCCCCGGGAAATGGTCAGCCCATGAACCTCCTGGGATCTTCACCACTTCCGTCTTGCCCCAAGGCCTCATTAAGGTTAAGGGCACCACTGGGTGGAATACCTACCGGCAGGGTGTCCTGGGATGACCAGGCTGCTGGCGGGCAAGGCTGGGGGCGGGGGCAGTGTTGCGGGGGCAGCAAACATTGCTGCAGCGTGGTGCTGGTGCTGCGCCTGGGACCTGAGCGCCAGGTGTGAGGTAGACAGGTGGGGGCCAGGGCCATGTGGCGACAGTGTCACGTGCTGTGACAGTGTCACGTGCTTCGCCAGACCCAGAGGGGTGCCGCTGACTGTACTGCTGCTCCTGCTGCAGGACACAGGGTTCAATGGTATCCTTTCTCTCACAACTTGGTTGTCCCGTAGCCACCCCCCATCCCAGGGCATGTCTCACCCACTCCCCACCTGAGGCTGTGCAGGTGCAGGCTGTTGGGTGCCACCTGGCCAGAGCCAGGGCCCACGAAGGCGCCCAAGGACAGAGGCACGTGTGTTGGGAGTGAGCCACGATGCTGCGGGGTGAGCTGTGACTGCGAGACGTGGTGAGGTACTATGGGGGCTTCCCTCTTCACCAGGGGGCTGTCCCGAGCTCCTGGGAGAGGTCCTGAGGGCGCCGGTGCTGTGTCAGGCAGTAAAGACTCGGTGCTGAGCTCACGGCTGCGCTCCAGGCCTGACACCTTGGGCACTGCCCCAGCCTTGGCCTCTGATTTCTCACCTTTCCCAGAGCCTGCAGAGAAAGGGTGGGTGTGCTGTTGGACCTGGTCCTATGTGCCCAAATACCACCCACCAGTAGCCAGAATGTCTAGACCTTGCCACTGCTCCTGACACAGTTTCAAAGGTCCGGTAATGACCTCTATGACCAACGGGGAACATGAACAGAGATAAGTCATGTGACCTCAGGCAATGAACATAGGTGAGCTCAGATGTGTGCCAGCCTCCGCCCTGGTGCTCAACCCGGGTCCTTTTCATAACTCCAGAATTCTAGGCTCCAAAGGACAGGTTACAAGGCTGCTAATGCCCCCTGCCCCTTTTCTTCTTTTGGTTTTTCGAGACAGAGTCTCTCTGCATAGCCTTTGCTGTCCTGGAACTAGCTCTGTAGACCAGGCTGGCCTCGAACTCACAGAGATCCGCCTGCCTCTGCCTCCTGAGTGCTGGGATTAAAGATGTGAGCCACCACGTTCAGCTTTTAAAGATCTATTTATTATGCAGTGTTCTGCCTGCAGGCCAGAAGAGGGCGCCAGATCTCATTACATAAGGTTGTGAGCCACCATGTGGGTGCTAGGAACTGAACTCAGGACCTCTGGAAGAGCAGCTAGTACTTTTAACCTCTAAGCCATCACTCCAGCCCAATAACCCATTTTTAAAGTTGTTGTGAGGTTTGCTTTTCCTTTTTCCTTCCTTATCTTTATGTGTATGAGTGTTTGACTGCATGTATACCTGTACACCACCAGATTGCTTGTGGAGGCCACAATGGGGCATCAGATCACCTGGAACTAGAGTTGCAGATGGTTGGAAGCCACCATGCAGGTGTTGAGAATCAAACCCTGGTCCTTTGGAAGAATAATCAGTACTCTTAATCTCTATAGCCCCTTCTTTTTATTTTAAAATAAATATTTTTTTCAATGATGTGTTTTTAAGGTGTGTGTCTTTGTATGGATATATGTGAGTGCAAGTGTCTGAGGGAGAGAAGAGGCATGATCCCTTGGCGCTGGAGTTACAGGCATCTGTGGGCTGCCTGAAGTGGGTGCTGAAACCCGAACTCGAGTCCTCTGACTGGGCAGTATAATTTCTTAACCACTGAGCCATTTCTCCAGCCCCACCTCGCCTCTCTATGTATAGTCCTGGTTGCTTTGGAGCTTGCTCTGTAGACCTGGCTGGCCTCAACACTAGCATTCTCTGCACTCGCCTCCCAAGTGCTAGGACCAAAGGCATTTTAAATATTTTCCTTCAACTGTGTCCATGAGCTTGTGTATGCATGTGCACGGGACTCAGGACGGCGTGTGGTTTCCGGTCTTCAGGCTCGGCAGCACCCTAACCACTGAGCTCTCACTAGCTCTTGCTGTTGGTGTTGGGAGACAAATCTTGAACATTCTAAGCAAGTGCTCTACCACTGGCTTTTCTCTTTAGCCCTCTTTGACTTTTTTTTTTTTTTAAATTATTTGTTTATTATGTATACAATATTCTGTCAGTGTGTATGCCCGCAGGCCAGAAGAGGGCACCAGACCTCATTACAGATGGTTGTGAGCCACCATGTGGTTGCTGGGAATTAAACTCAGGACCTTTGGAAGAGCAGGCAATGCTCTTAACCGCTAAGCCATCTCTCCAGCCCCCCCCCTTTGACTTTTTAATTTTGAGATAGGGTTGCTTTAAGTCACACAAGATGGTCCTGAACTCACTCTACAGCCCACAATGGGCATCAAATTTTAATCCTCCTACCTCACCCTCCCAAGTAGTTGAGAAGACAGTCCTGTGCCATGAGGCTCAGCTCTCATGACCTCATTCTGTAGAAAAGATTAAGATTCTACAAGGACTTGTCCTAGGGTTGACACTTGTCCAACCACTACTTACCCCCTTGGCTGCAGCATTCATTAACATACACTCATGCAGCCACACATGCATGCACTGATGCCTACCTCTTTCTGCAGTGTTCAGGGGAAGCTGTCCCTTACACTAAGACTGCTTCCCTTTGCCCCACTGTTTCTTGACCACCATCCCTACCCAATGGGATAAACAGACCCTCCCAAATTTCCTACTGTTCTTGAGTCTCTACAACCTGAGACCCAGGAGCTGGGCTAGGGATATACTCACCTCTGTCAGATGCCGGGGTAAAGAGCTTCTCAGAGCCTACAGATGCCTGAGGAGAGAGAAGAGGCTAACAGGCTGGAGCTGAGAGTGACTATTCCCCATCGCCCCAGCAGACCCCAATCCCTGGTATACTACACACTTCTGAGGAAGACACACATTTAGTCCTGGACTTGGAAGCAAGCACACATGTTTACAATGTTCAGAAGGCTCCTTTCTACTTAGAGCAATGGACTTCATCAAAATGGGGCATGTGATGGTCTTATGGTGGAATGATCTGAGAATGCCACCAGCCTGGCCGGTAGCCCATCTCTGTGCTCAGGACTCTGTTGGGTCTCAGGCACAGGCTGAAGGCAGAGAAGGGAGGAGGGTCTTTACTGCATGTCCCTCTTGTCCTGCCCAGGGCACAGTGTCAACGCAGAGAAAGGTAGATGAATACATGGATGTGCACCCTTTAACATTGTCATCTACAAATGTGCAGGCTGCATCGATCTTGGGATACATTCAGCTGTAGGTGATAGTTGGCTCTACTAGGTACCAGGTGGGAGATGTGCCGTTTACATGCTGTGGCACAACACCATTCTCAAGGGCTGGGACTGCCCAAGTCAGGGCTCACATAGTCCAAGCAAAATAAGGCCTTGGGTTTCGAGTATTCTAGTTTTCACCTGAAGCCCCAAGACTGTCTCTGCTTCTCCCTGTTCTGTACCTGCATGCAAATGCTGCCATACTGCATGGGGTTCGTCAAGACCACTGTACCCACCTAGTGCAGTGTGCCTCTTGAGCAGACCTCAGACACCGCTTCAAAAAAGGAGCCATTGTGAGATGTCACGCATCAACCACAGACGTGTGTACGCAAGGTGCCTGTACTGTATAGGCATACATGTGATCATGTGTAAGCAAGTATATGGGTAGACACATTAGTGTACATGTTTATATATACTGGCACACACAATGAGTGTGTGTGTGTGAGGGGGGGGGGGAGAGATTATGATTATGTCAGTAAGGCCTCAGGAAGGTCTGGGAGGACACGTGTCCACTGGAGATTGGTGGAGTTCAGTGGATCTGGGGTCATGTCCCCGGCTCAAACTCTCCTATTTTACGATTTTACAAAGAAAGAATTCATTTATCACTGAAAGTGATGGCATAGCTTCTGCAGGGAGAGGGAGGACAGGCTTGTCCCAAGGGAATTCATGGGAGAAACAGCTCGGAAGAGGCCTCATCCCAAGAGGCCATACATGGAGACTTGGCACACCACATTGCAGCTCTAACTACAACTTCCCCAGCTCAAATCCAACAGAACAACGTCAGAATGCCCTTACTGTCCACAGAGTCTCTAAGTGGCCTAGCCCAAGGCCTGGGGTGAGGACACCCAGGGTCTATCAACAGGCAATGAAGTGGACATAGCATCTACCTCAGCACAACCAGGGAGAGCTGTGGACACAGGCAATATGATGAACCTCAAGTGCTCAAAGAGCCCATTCTGCAAGATGCCATCTGCATTCCAGAGAGTGGAAGGCAGCCAGAGGGTGCTGTCAGAATGCATCAAATTGGTTTGTTTAGGTGCATTTTATTGGCCATAATCTACAATCCCCAAATCAACAAAAAGATGTGATGCTGAAGCTTGAGAAGGCCGAGGGGAGTACCCAAGCATGTCTATGGCAGGCACTCCCACTGGGAGAGCACAGAGCTAGATCCCACTGTTTTCCATGTCAGAATAATTCCAGACAGACCTCAGACGGGAATGTAAGGAAGACCGGAACATAAAGCCATCATGAGTATGAAAATAGGGCCTTTCCTACCCACACCTTAAGAGTTCACCACAGAAGAGGCAACAGATTCAAGCCTTTGACACCCCTACCTGTACCCCAGGGCTCTAGTAAAGGCCAGGTCAATAAACCACCCTTGAATTGCACTCATCATGAAGATGCTTAAATAAGGATCCATTTTCCTTCTTTCTGATCGGTAAAGTTAAGAAAAACCCCAGAACACTGGAGCTGGGCAGAGATGAGTCAGTGTTTAAGAGCACTGGCTGTTCTTCCAGAAGACCAGGGTTCAATTCCCAGCAACCACCTGGTGGTTCACAACCATCTGTAACTCCAGTCCCAAAGATTTTTCTGGCCTCTTTGGCACATATTGTACAATGTACCTGCACATATATCAAATTTTTGTTTGTTTGTTTGAGACAGGGTCGCATTTTGTAGCCTTGGCTGGCTTGAAACTCACTGTGTATACCAAGTTGACCTCGAACTCAGAGATATACCCGCCTGCCTTCTTCGCCTTCTAAGATTAAAGGTGTTTTATTTTTATTTTTTCTTGTTCAAAAAGAATACCCCAGGACAGTGAGAGGCAGAACTCACAGGACTGGACAGACAGGTAGTGAGCAAGGAGGCAGGGCCCTATTCATAGGCTACTCTGACCTCCCAGCTTTGCTCTCTCCTGGTTGACAGGCTCCTGTCTTTGATGCTGGGACACTTACTACAAACTGGGTGACTATAGTGCACAGAGCAGGCCACCTCGACCTCAAGACCAGAGTTTTCAGTGTCCTGATCTTGGACTTCCAGTCTCAATGTGAGCAGAAGTTCACTTCTGCAGTCTATAAGCCTCTGTGCTATGTCACACAGATGATATGGAACCAGTGATGTTCTCAATTCCCTGGAGGTGAAGGAGGTGCCAGGACTGGGTAGGAAGAGAGGCTACAACCCAACCTGTAGCTCCAAATGTGATGTGTGTTGGTGTGTCCTCGAAGGTGGAGCAGAGTAGCTTCAAACACAAGTCAGCACACAGTTTGGGCCTGATCAGAGGTCTTTACAATGCCAGTGAGGCCCAGGATCCCCCAAATCACCCGAATGCTGAGAACACTCTGCCCAGCTCAGTCTTTTTGCCCCATGCCATACTTTGTGGCTGGGTCTTTCTCATCTCTGCCCTTCCTACAACCACAAGCTAGTTTGGTAGAGGAGATGACAGGACAAGCCAAGGTTCCTAAAGATTGGGGCTGTTCTTCCTAATTCTGCTGCTGGTATGCTGAGAGGACTGACCACTGTAGGGTCTGCCCTACACGGGGCTCAGAGCCATAAGAAATAGAGGTTCAGTCAGTGGATAGGAAAAGCCAGGACCTGCTGAGCAGGTAAAGAGGACCTTGTGGGGTTAGATTCAGCTGTTACTTATCACTGCTGTCTGCAGATAGAACAGCAGGGTCTTAGAAATGACTGGGCATTGCCTCTTACTGCCTGGCTCTGTCTACCAGGACGCCCAGGGTCCTGGGAGGTGTCATCACCTGTCACCACCCTATCAGAGCTAAGGCAGGTCACTTGGTCATCAGTTCCTGTACCATCCTGGCTAGCTTAACTTTTAAAGTTCTTTACAACAAACCAAATAAGAACAAGTGGCCCCCAGTGGTGAAAATTTTAGGCTCTCTCCAGGCCAGAGCCCAAACTTCTCTATGGCTGTGGTGGAATTGTGTAGAACCCCCAGACCCCCTCCTATCCTATTCTTCTGCACACAGGGTTGCCATGGTCCCCATTAATCTCTCTTGGCATCTCATGAAGCCCCTCTGGAGTTCTGTCAGCATCTGTCCTGTGTCTATAGCCTCCTTATGTGTACCAGCTCTGGGAACCTACATAACCAGCCCCACAAGGCACCAGGAGACGGCAACCAGCCTCCCTCTGAAGAGGCTGCCCTGGGGTTTTCACTACAGGCCCTCTGGGTGCCACCAAGTCCTTAGTGCAGGGAATTTCAGCAAGCCCATCTGGACCTCTCTGCTCCAAGTGAGCTTGGAGCCCAAGCGACCTCCTGTAAGCCAAAAAGGAAGAACCCCGACCTCTCAGGCAGGACAATGAAACAAGCCATCAAGATCAAGACCTGCAATTCCAGATCCAACCCAAAAGGTAACTTCCAAATCCCAAGACATAAGACCCTGTTCCTCAGCACAAACAGTGAACAGCAATGAAAGGACCTGAGCTTAGGTGAGGAGAGGGGGGGCAGGGTGACCCCTGCTCTATCTGCCTCTAATTGAGACCTAATGACCCCTTAGCCAAGGGGAATAGTGTAGGGGTGGGGGGCAGAGGGCGGAAAGCAGGGGTGGCATATTCTTCCCATCACAGGACAGACATGCATGGCCACAGCCAGTTCCCTCCCTCCACAGGCAAATCTGCTCAGGAAGACCGTGGGTGCAGGCAGGAATCCTAGTGCTTTTTAGGGTTTTGAACACATGGCCAGGATGGTTATCCCTGTTCCTAAAAGCCCTGACCCAGAAGACTCCAGTTTCCAGGATCTCTGGGGAAACCAGTGATATCAGTGGCACAAGTTTGAGCAGCAAGCACAGAGATGTCCCTTCAGCCTCTTCCTTTCTGCCAAACTTCAGAACTGACTAGTTAGGCCAAGACGGGTGAAGTGTCTCACCGGGCTTCCAACCCTGTGTTAATAACTTTCTGGGCATTATCTCCTGGGACGTGACTCAGGCATGCAGTCCTCCTCCAATCTTGGTGTGCAGCCAGAGTGCAGAAGAATACAGTCACTTCATGCCAAGGAGCATGTGGGAAATCCCTGGGCTGCAGGCTTGTGGTTCCACGCAAAAGGCATGTTTGGTAGGAAGACACCACTGATTCTCCAAGGGGGCTAGGGTCACTCCTTGCTTTGTTTGAGACTACTGGACCCTAGGGGCACCCTCAGATCAGACAGGAAGCGCAGGCTGCCGGCCGCACCCCGCCCCAGACAAAGAACTCAACTCCAGTCAGGTGAGCAAGGCACCACGCAGCTGGTGGCGGTGGCCCACTGCGCGCAGGGGTGCAGACAAAGGCGCGCCCCCCCCCACCGTGCCCCGCCTGCCTACACCGCAAGTCCAAAGGGCCGAGACCCTCGCCAGACAACACCCCTACAGCTTGCCACCACGTGTGCCCCGGGTGCAGCTTCGAGAACACGGATATTCTGAGCGACCTGCTCCAGCAGAGGACGGAGCGGGGCTCCCAGAGTCGTCCTGTTGCCCATTCTTCAAAGGGCTCGGTGCTTCCCCACCCTCGAAGCCCGAAGTCCCGCTTTGCTCTTCGGCGCCCACAA